ACAATATTTAATCAGGCTTAGATGACTCAATACAATAAAACAAATTAATTTCTTTGAAAACCCCCTTTGGTTAGTTCGATCTATCAACGATCATAAGGCTTCGAAAGTTACTAAATGTACAATTGTCAAAGCAATAAAGAATTCTGAAAGGAACATAAAAAAAAAAAATACTCAGTCAATCTAGTCAAAAGAGATTCCGATAGTTAGATTGAAAGATCTATCCATCCCAAAAAGTCCGAAATAAATAATGTCAAAGAGAAAAATGAAAATCAGAATCAAAATATCGTCAATAATAATCATGTAGATTGAACAACACTGAACGATCGAAACCCAAGAATTCATCCACATGACAAGTAAAGCTGGCTGTCCGAAATAAATACGAAAATCCACGACAACGGGCCAGCGAAACAAAGCAAGGTCACGAGACACAAAAAAAACCTACGTTCAATATCCTTCACTGAAGATGAACCGACAGCGAGAGTGTTCGTCTAACACAAATTCATTCAGATGCAACACTAACTAATTTTCCCAGTATCGGTTCAAAAATAAAATATTCATAAAATAATTGTCACTCGCAACATGAAACACGAGAACCCGAAACTCTACGAAATCACTCAATGCCGCGAGACAACCGAAGTCGAATGATCAAACACATTAACTTCAAATACGCACGAGAGAGAGAAAAAAGAGACCCACTAATCAGTTACTGATCAGAGTGACTAGGACTCTATCTGGCAATTGTTCAAAGTCCTACGGGACTAAGATGCACAAAACATATGTTTAAAGCTTTAAAATTGGCCAGAGTCCTACTCACGACAAATTCACACACATGCGTCATACAGAGTTGTAGCCATCCCGCTCACCCAGCGGTCAACCTCGGTGTCTCCGGAAAACGTCTCCAAAAACTCCTCAAATCCGAGTCCTCGGGCCCTTCCTCCAGACAAATCCACTCGGGGCTTCCTCCACAGGTTTATTTCTTCTTCCAGAGCGCCTTCAGGCTCCCCAAAACTCCGAAATTAACGCCATATAACTCCAAAAATCGATCAGACACACGTATGGCGAAACCACCAAACGGGAAGTGAGTTTCGTTTTCCCAGCGACACCACGCTGGACCGTGAAAACGCGGCAACGACGCTCATTGGCTGCTCGTTCCGCTCACTCGTCCAATCAGTTTCCACACAACTAGAATCTGTCGCTCACATGGCCGAACCAAGTCCGTCGGCGCATGCGCAGTGAATCCGTCCAAATCATTCTCCAGACCATTCTGTCCCCAAAGGACGATTCAACTCAACCTCCTTCTGATTTTGGTGAAATCCTCCACTTCCCCTTCCGCATTGAACCAGTCGGACTCCTACGTCACATTTTCCCTAGAGTTGCCCGAGAGCTGGCGACCTCTGGCCATCCGAAGACCCATGAGGCTCGCATCATGACCTCGAAGTGTCCCGAAGCCCCTCGACGATTCCCGGAGACGTTGCCACCTCAGTCCCACGATGTCGGCGCCAGATTCGATTCAAACAATACAGGAGGAAATACAAAACAAAATAATTAACAAAATATACCAAACCTCTCTCGTGACTCTCGCTGTCAGTTGGTGACTTGCCGTCTGGTGATTTCAAAATTAGCAACCCCACACGCAAAACGGTCGAATAAAAAAAAACTATTTGCGACGGAAAATAACACGTCAGACAATACATGAAAAAAAAAAACATGTCATGGTAGGAAGTTTTTTTTACATGTAAAGAGAAAAACTTTGGTATTACTGAAAAAATCTGAACATCACGAAGTAAAGTTCAATCGTCATAAGGAAAAACTTCCGTTATTTTTTAAAAAACGTTTGTACAAACCATCTTTCATCATAGGGAACAAAATTCTAATGTGCGAGGACACAAGCTATGGGGACAATACAAAATTAAGTAACTACGAAAAAATATCATAGTCGAAAAACCTTTGATAAGGGAAAAATTATTTGAGTATGCAGAGAAAATTCTTGTTGTCAAACAGATTCTAGTAACATGAGTAATATTTCGAGTTGCCAAGCAAAAATTTCGATGGCACTAAAAATTACAGTCACAAAGATACCTCTAATATGAAGAACACAACTCGTTATCACAGATGTAAATCTTGTGTTTAAGAAAGGAAAAATATGCAGTCAAAGAAAATTTTTTGATATTGCAGAGATATTTTCGATTGTCCAAGAACAATCTCATGATTTTCAATAAGAACTTTTTGATATTCTAAAAATCCACTGCGAAAAATTTATCATTATGGAAAAAAAAAATTTAGTATATGAAGGAAAAAGACGTTGGGGATACCCAAAAATGTGACAACATAGAAAAAATACGGATGTACAAAGAAGAAAATTTTAATGATGCTGAAAAATCCCGGAAAATTATCTTGTGGTCACGAAGAGATTTCTATGCTGTCGTGAAAACTATTTCGACATGCCAAGAAAACCTTCTTATCACAAAGAAATTTCACTGCACACCGAGTGAAATTATGATAGTGAAAGCACTTTGGTGACAGTGAAAAACAGTGAGAAACCTCTGATGCAGAGAAGAAACTTCAGAGGAAATATTGAAGATGCAAAGGAAAAATTTCTAGTGACAGTCAAAAATCTTGACGTTATGAAAACAATCTGCGATACAAAAAAAAACTCGATTTCATGAAACAATATTTCAATCCTCAGGGGAAAAACTTGTCATCACTAAAAAATGGTTCGGTATGCAAGAGAAAAACTTCAGTACTATACAACAATCTTTGAAGATCATGGAAAAAACTGATAAGAAATCATTGAGTAAGCCAAGACAAACTCGGAAGAAATTTTCATGACAGAAAATAAAACTTCACAACTTTTTTTTTGGCCGGTTGAGGATCGAGGGATACGCGACAAGGACGTTCCATACTACTTCGATCAAATCAAAAGACTTTTTTAACTTCAAGAAATATTAAATATATTGTTGATTTATTCCATACCCTGGAGGGTTATTAAAAAATTTCAATTTCAAGTTATGCGAAATCAAAATTTACAAGACGGGTCTGGTAAGTTATTTTTGAAAGAATTATAATTCAATAAATAGCCATTCTATCGAAGAAGTGCAAAAAGGCTTTTTTATTCAAAATAGGTGTAAGTTTCGAGGAAAAAATTTAGTTAAGTAAAAAGTTGAATTAACTATGAGTGAATAAAAAAACAACTATTCAAAAGTTATTAACAAATCATCAGGGCCTTGTTCGATAATATTCACTGCTAATTCAATTTCTCCAGGGTCCTCTGTTTTCACTTTTCCGTGTGTCAATAGGAGTAGTGCGGCAATATTTGTGAGGATTAATGGTTGATGACGTAAAGATTTTGGGTCCCAGATGAGAACAGACTTAGATGCACAAACTACATGCGGAAATAAAAGAGCCTAACTTTGTGCCATTCTCACTTGCAGCCTGAGTAGCCAATGATCTCTTTTATGTAAATGTGGGGCACCACATCTATGATTTGTACGAGCGATGAGACACTCTCCTGTACGTATTTCCGGAATATTTTTTATTGGGTGACGAGAACGGTAATATAAAAGCTGTCGGAGGTCCATCTCTTTTTTTGACTGAGGGGCCATTGTTTCGGATACGAGTAAACTCTCACATCCAAGTGTCAGGGGAGCGGGTTGTCATCATGGGGGCCATCTTGGTTCATGCATTTCTGGAGTATTTTACATATAATGCTATAATAACGATCAATCTCTCATTCAATTGTGTGGAGTAAAAGAGATCACATCTCTTCTATTTGAAAAGCATTTTCGTGTTATTTTTTCTGTAAGTTGAAGCAATAAAAAAAAAGGTCGAAATGTCTCTGTACCTTCTCCTGACCGCTTTGCTGGCACTGTCGGTACCCCTTGGAGGGACCCAGGTTGTAAATTTTACAAAAACGCCTATTGACTCGGGTGTGCGTTTATATTATGAACCAATGCATCAAATTCGTTTCGCAAAAGGCGAATGGCGCTTAGTGACATTCATTGATATGAACTTTTTTCAATCACAAAAACCTTTCATGGCTGAAAATGCACTAAAATCTCGTGAAACGATATGTTGGAAATATGAAACACGTGAACGTTGTGCTTCAATACTTGATACGAGTTGTATAAAATCCAAATACGAAATAGCAGAGCGATATCTGAAACATATCCAGTCTCTTATGGATATTCAGCCAGAGCCCAATGACAATGATACACCCACTGTAAAACAGAGCGTACCCTTGGGTTTTATTGGGGGTATAAGCCTATATGATATAATAATTGACAAAAATGAAAATTCTCAGATAAATACTTTTTGAATTTTTTCCTCCGTTATTCTTCATCGAATTGATGCAGTGGATCTTCCTCACATGAACTGCACTCGGATGATGTACGCCCGGCATCGCTCAAATTATCATCATCTCCTGCATCAGAGTTTTCGGTTACAGGAGTAATGATGAAGGAATATTTGTCTTGATGAATCTCAAGACGAGCTCGAACCTCCACCAATGTGAGGTAGCCCTCTGATGATGAGTTTTAGCATATTCTTTCAGGACTTTGAAGATGGATTCAAGGATATCATTGAATGATATTGTTCAATATCGCTCTAAGAATTGAATTTATATTTATTTTACCAAGGATTGCAAAATCACGAGGTACCGGGCAGGGTTAGATTAATTAAACACAAGTAATGAAAATAATATTTAATTGTAGAAACTATATAATACACTTTAGGTATTGAAAAAACGCGAATAAAATTTTTGCTATTCACAGAGCTACTGTGTTCTTTATAGGCACACGATGGCAACTTCCAGTATTGCCTCGCTGATCAGCTAACCACTCGTCGTCGGTGGACTCGTTGGCGCATTGGTTTCGCGGTGCTCAAATGTTTATCTTCGCAATCGCGAACATACCGCCCGTCTCGTTCTGCGTTAATAGAACGAAGCAGCCTTGTATTCTGAAACAGTCTTAAAAGGATTAATTTTGTCAACGACTAGGGGTTCGTTAGTTGAGGGGCGGTTCACCGCCCGCCATGGCGTCTCCCACTGGAAGCGGGATCAGTTTCACGATGGGACGCGTATACGTGGATGTGCGTGACCTCAGTTTTCCTGATCTGACCCTTCCTTCCAGGTCAGCATAGAGTTCGATGACTCGTGCCAATGGCCATTGGCTGGGAGGTGTTGGCAGGTCCTGAATGAGTACGATATCGTCGATCTTCAGGTTTTTCTGCTCTCTTTTCCACTTCTGACGGGTCTGCAGTGCCATGAGGTATTCGGAGCGCCATCGGCTCCAGAAGTTCTCGTTGAGGTTCTGAATGAATTCCCATCTCGATAGTCTGTTAGGGTTCAGCTCCAAGGTCGAGGTGGTTGGGACTGCGTTCAGGGGTCTTCCCGTCAGTAGGTGCCCAGGCGTCAGGAGGGCGATGTCTCCAGAGTCATCATGAAGGAGTCCGATGGGTCTGGAATTCAGGTTACACTCAATTGTGCAGAGGAGTGTAGTCCATTCCTCGAAGGTGGGGGTGCAGTCATCCAGGAGTCTCTTCAGTAAGTTTTTTACTGACTTTACTCCTGCTTCCCATAAGCCGTCAAAGTGTGGTGAGTTGGGTGGAATGAAGTGCCACTCGATCTTCCTGGTTGCTAGGCAGCTCTGCAATTCCTGGTTTTGCTGTAGTTGGGTCACACTTTCGCATAGCTCGCGATCAGCACCTTGGAAGTTGGTTCCGTTGTCAGAGTAGAGGTCTGATGGGAGTCCTCGACGAGATACAAACCGGTCTAAGGCTGCCAGGAATTTCTTGGTGGAGCAATCAGAAACTATTTCCAGGTGTATTGCTCGGGTGGACAGGCATACGAAGAGTGCGATGTAGCCCTTGTACGCTTTATGCCTTCGGCCCTCAGTGGTGCGCACATTCACGGGTCCCGTGTAGTCAATTCCCGTGTGGGTGAATGGTGGTGACTCGTTCACGCGTGGGGTTGGGAGTGCTGCCATGAGTTGATGTACTGGCTTTCCATCGAACCTTATACCCTTCACGCATTGGTGTATGTGGCCTTTGACGAGTCGTCTCGCGTTGATGATCCAGTACCTTTGCCTTAAGGTACTGAGTGTCAACTGAGTTCCCCCATGTAGTGTTTTTCGATGAGTGTCATCGATGATGAGTTCGGCGACTCTTCCAGCTGGCAGTATGATGGGGTGCTTCTCATCGTACAAGATGGAGGCCTTGGAGATGCGACCATCTACTCTCAAGATGCCCTTGTCATCCAGGGCTGGGTGAAGACGCGTGAGTGCATCCTTCGTCGGGAGAGGTGTCGCTTCCTTCAGCAGTTTTAATTGAGTATCGAATGCGTCGGCTTGTGCTTGACGCATCCAAAAGTCGTGCGCTGTCTCTATCAGTTCCTTGAGTATCGGGAAAGGTGTGGTATGATTCCTTTGTAGATGCAGGAATTTCATACAGTAGGCGGTGATCCGGAGAATTTTCTGCCATGATGAGAACAAGAGAGGGAGATTCCGTATGCCTCTTGGGACGTGATCATCAACCACTTGGGTATCTCGCCTCGCGGTGCAACCGGTGAGGGTTACAGTCTCGTCTGTAACTGTTTGAATGATCGAATGATTCGAGTATTGAGGTTGTGGCCACTGACCTGATTCAAGTTTCAGCCATTTGGGTCCACTCTACCAGAGCTCATGGGAGACCAGTTCTGCTGGAGGAATTCCGCGTGAGGCACAGTCTGCGAGATTTGTTGATGTTGGCACGTGGCGCCAGTTTACTGTTGGAATTCGCGTCTGGATGTCAGACACGCGGTTCGCGATGAATGTCGGCCAGTGTGATGAGTGCTTTTGCAACCACGCGAGGACGATTTGTGAATCACTCCATGCGTAGAGGGGTACTGAGTCTAGCTTCATGGTGTTCTTGACTTTCTCTAAGACTCGTGCTAGCAGGTGAGCAGTACACAGTTCCAGTTTGGCCACGGTTTGATGTTGTATGGGAGCGACCTTGGAGTTTCCTAGGAGGAGTTTGACTTCTGCCAGTTCGTCGTGGTTTCCTCTGATTCTCAGATAGACTACGGCGGCGTACGCTTGTGTAGACACGTCGCGAAACCCATGCAGCTCTAATTTCTGCGACTCAGGCGTCCACCCGACGTACCTGTTGATGTTGATCTCTTGGAGGCGGGTGAGTTGGGCTTGGAACGTTTCCCATTGGCTGCGGATTGCTTCAGGGACTTCATCGTCCCAGTCCATTCCAAGTAGCCACAGTTCGTGGATGCGCATTTTTGCGCAGATTGTGGTGGGAGTTAGCCAACCTACTGGATCGAAGATTCTGGCAACTGTGGAGAGGATTCCTCGTTTCGTCGCTTTGCTTGGATTGTCCGCTGAGACTGAGAACTTGAAGGCGTCAAGATTCATGTTCCATTGAACACCGAGGACCTTCACGGTCTCCTTCTGGTCCAGTTGTGACGTCGGATCGAGTGCGACTGCTATACGAGGTACTGACGCGAGACTCTCTGGGTGACTTGAAGCCCACTTCCCCAGGTTCATTCCCCCTGCGAGTAGCAATTTTTGTAGTTCTTCTTGCGTTTCTCTCGCTTCTTGAATCGATGATGCTCCCGTTAGGACGTCATCAACGTAGAAATCACGTTCGAGTATCGCAGCTGCTCGTGGGAACCTCGCGCGCTCGTCTTGGGCCAGTTGTTTCAAGGTACGATTGGAGAGATAAGGGGCTGGTGCTGTTCCATACGTCACCGTTTTCAAGTCGTACGAATTTACCTCAGTGGAGCCTGGTGGTTGCCATAGGATTCTCTGAAGGTGTCTTTCCCCAGGGGTTACGAGGATCTGCCTGAACATTTTTTCGATGTCGGCACGCAGTGCGATTGGGTGCATTCTCCACCTCAGAATGACGTCTAGGAGATCTGGCAGCAACTGTGGTCCGACGTGGAGATGATCGTTAAGCGTTTTTCCATTCGTCGTACCACTGAACGCGTTGAACACGACTCGGATTAGCGAGGTCGTGCTGTCTTGGCGTAGAACTGCGTGGTAGGGCAAGTACACTGGTTTCTGGTCTGGTTGAGGCTGATTTGGAGACAACGACATGTGTCCCAAGTCCAGATACTCTTGTAGGAACCCGTCATATTCGACTTGACGTTGTGGCGTGGTTAGAAGGCGTCTTCTCTGTCTCTCGAGGCACTTTCTCGCGATGATGTAAGACTCTCCGTTCTCTAGTGGTAGCGTAGTCTTGAAGGGGAGGGATTCAGTGTATCTTCCACTCTTATCTCGCGTGTGAGTTGTCTTGAAGTGGTCCTCACACTTCTGATCTTCCTCGTTCAGGCCGATGGGGATCATCAGTTCCTCCAGTTGGCAGAATTTTCGGATCAAGTTGTCCAGCGGCTCTCTGATGATGCAGTGGTTCACTGATGCGTGTGATTGCTGCTCATGGGCTCGGGTGGTGGTGCGTGGGCCAGAAACTACCCATCCGAAGATCGTTTCTTGTGCCATGGCTGGGTATAAATCTGCACCGATGATGAGGTCAATTCTGCCGTCATCCGTGTGCGTACGACGTGAGCTTGGGCAGTACGTGGGCGATAATGGGTAATGACGGTTTCTGCGTGTCACGAGGTGCTATCGCGCACGATATGGCAGATTTACATGAAGCTGTCTGGTTTCCATTGACCCCAGAGATGGAGATATTTACCTTTATTCTCGGGGCTCGTAGCGCTTGACTCGTGGACGCCCTGACGAAGGATAGCTCCGAACCTTGGTCGAGAAGAGCACGCGCTATGATTATGCGGCCGTCCACGGTGCGCAGTCGGACTCGGGCAGTCGCGAGGAGGACGGAGTTAATAGATGTGGTCAGCTGATTGCTCTGACATGCTGTTGCCTTTGTCGTTTCTCCCTCTTCATCCGACGATTCGCTGTTCTCACCCTGTTCCTCCAGCCAGGAGTTTTCTTCGTCGCTAGTGTCCACCTTGGCGTGGGCTGCGTTGACCTTGGTTCTCTCAGTTGGAGTCTTTGCTGGTGCTACGCAAACGAGAGTGTGATGTTTCTTAGTGCATTTCCTGCACCTCCCAGGCTGCTCGCAGTCCTTGACGCCATGATCACCTTTGAGACAATTGAAACAGAGAGAAGTACTTTTGACGAACTCCCGCTTGTCAGCGACAGATTTAGCCTTGAATTCGAAGCAAGAGGTTAGTGAGTGATTTGCTTTACAATGCGGGCATACAACCTTATCGTCAGCGATAGTGTGCATAACCTTGAATGACGTCTTGCTTGTTGGTCGCACGGCCGTGGTGCTAGCAGGGAGTCTGTCCAGTCGTTTAGCGCGTTCATTGAGGAAGTCGGACACTTCCGTGAAGGTGGGAAACGCGTTGACATTGTTGATGTTGAGCTCCCAATGTTTGCGTGTCTCATTGTCGAACTTGTTGACGGTGAGGTAGACCAGGATGTCATCCCAGTGTTCTACCTTTCTCTTCAGGTTTGCCAGCACTTCGCGAGCGCGAATCGTCTGGTCATGGACACGACGAGCTTCGTCTGCTGTGTCATTCTTCATTTTCTTGATGCTGAAGAGGTCCTTGAGATGAGTCCAAATGAGTCTATTCTCATCCTCGTATCTGTCATTCAAGATTTTCCAAGTTGACGCGTAATTTTGTTCCGTCACTTGGATGTTCTCAACTAGTTCAAGAGGTTCAAGAGGCCTCGAAGTATGAAGAACTTCTTGATGACCGATACTTGCTCATTGTTATGGACTAGTTGTGAGTAAACTCCCTTAAAATTACTCCATTTAGCTATATCACCACTGAATCGTGGTGGTTTAACCTTTTGATGAACAACGGTGAGAATTTATTTAATAAAAGTCACTTGATCACTTGAGCAGCACAACGTCCAGGGTGCTCGGCAATGCTTCAGTATAGATCACTCACGGTTATTCACCTGTCACTGAATGTTGGTGGGCACGGCACTATTCGGCTGAAATTTGGCGCGTGTGAATCACGTGTTTGCGATACGGCACTGAGCGTCGCCGCGAAGTTGGATTTCTCGGGTGAGGTGCCACGGGGTTCACTGGAGAAATGGCACGAATTTTTGCACGTGGTCACACTTGATTAATTGATGAATTTTCCACTTCAGAGCGTCTCACTCACACTGAAGTTGTTTTCGTTAATTTTTTTTTACTCTTCTGTTGTCGCGGTAATCAAAGTGAGAATCACACTGAGCGACGACAGGAGGTTAATATGCGAGGATTTTATTTACTCCACACGTGGTGGGCACGTTGTGGTTCGGCCACACGTGGGGTTTTTCGTGGTTAATTATTGACTTTTAGTCACTTGAGGGGTTCTCTCTTCACTTATTTTATTTAATTGCAGTACCTCGATTAGCGCGATTATTTGACACGGAAACCGTACTTAATTTCACTGTGGAATTTTTTCACTATGGAGAATTTTATTCTCAGCACGTGGTCGACGCGTTGTAGTTCGGTCGCACGTTAGAACTTACACTCTGTTTCGCGAGTTTGCACACGCTGTAACGCGAGGTCGAGCGGTAAATTCTGATCAATTATACCTGACTATTCGACTCTAGCGAGATAGTCGGTAATCCCGATCACTTGTGGATAATTAACTGTATATACCCGTATCCGGCTCGAAGGACCATGTTCAATATCGCTCTAAGAATTGAATTTATATTTATTTTACCAAGGATTGCAAAATCGCGAGGTACCGGATAGGGTTAGATTAATTAAACACAAGTAATGAAAACAATATTTAATTGTAGAAACTATATAATACACTTTAGGTATTGAAAAAACGCGAATACAATTTTTGCTATTCACGGAGCTACTGTGTTGTTTATAGGCACAAGATGGCAACTTCCAGTATTGCCTCGCTGATCAGCTGACCACTCGTCTTCGGTGGTCTCGTTGGCGCGTTGGTTTCGCGGTGCTCAAATGTTTATCTTCACAATCGCGAACAGATATCGAAGTGAACCATTTCAAGGGAATGAAAAGATTCTGCATGATATGAATATACGGATTCTCCGTTCTCATTACATTTCCCTCTGCAATTGTCGAGGATTGATGATTCATGATCTTAACATCTTTCGCAGCTGACATGAGTCTGTTAATTATAGAAAACCCAATGAATCAAAATCTTTTGAACAAATTTTCTTACATAGACTAGAACAATTGCTTGAAAATTTATCTCTATGACATTTTCAAATTTCTTCCCCCCCCCCCAAAAAATCGTTGAAGAAAAATTTTTTTCCATCATCAAATGTAATTCACTTATCGACTTGCGCTGTGTGAGATCGAGACGATTGAAGAAAGACCCACCCGCCTCGATGAATGCTAGCGCTAATCCGTACTCCATCGACTTGGAATGTAAACATCGGACAACAACGATTTCGAGTGGATGTAACACGACACCAACGATGAAGATTTTTTTTTTGTCATACAGAGGATTATGAGTGAATGAATGAGATTTCAGGATTGAATGAAAACATACTAAATAATTACATGGATTTTTTCTTTACTCGAAAATTATTTGAAATCATACATTTTCCAATATTTCTTATAAATTTCAATCTTTTATAATGATTTTTTTAATGTTTCATGAAGAAATCTAAAAAGTAAAAAATTTTTATTGAAAGAATTGACATAACTGACAGTTGGTGATGAGTGGTGGTGGTCCGTCCAGCTGATCACTCTCCAATGTATTCCAATGCTCCAGACATCTCCGATAGCGTGCGATCTCAGGATGCATTTGAAGATGTTTTGGCAGCTTGTCCCAGACTTGACCGATACTCTTCTGTGCAAATTCCAGAAGGAAGAATTTGGGGAGAAATGAAATCTCTTCTACAGTCATATCTTTGAGATTCCGAGTTGCACAGAACGACTTCAAAGATTTCTCCAAATATCCTTGACTATATTTCTTGTAACAAGCTTTCAAATTCTCGACATTCTCCTGAGCGCAGTGGAATTTGGGATCCTTGTAGAGAACACTGTGATCCCAATACTTGGTACCTCCCAACGAATCCAATTTTGGGCAGCCCAGATCTTCCAGATTCACGATCGGTATCTGATGTCCAATGAGTGGACCCAACCATTTCTTCTTCTCCAATCCTTTGACGAAAATCTGATTAATTCCTCGCAGCGGTTCACGGAAAATACGATCAATCGAAGAGTACTTGTGCACCTCCTTACTCCCCCAATGTAATCCATGATAATTAAATCTCAGCCAAGTATTCATTTTTTGATACTCAGCTGGAAGATCCTCCCATTTGCATGGTGCTTCAAATACCAGAAATTCATCCACTTCCGGATAATTTTCTCCACACTCAAGACTTGAAATACCGAGTTCCTTCAGCACAAATTGATTGACTGGTCTCTTAAAACCCTGGATATCGATAAAGACCTTCATTTTTTGCAGCAATATAATGCGCTTATACCACTAGCGTGTGAGGCTTATGAATGAATCATTCAACAATCGCACCCCCTTATATAGAGCTCGATCCAGTGACCGTTGCGGGTGTTCATCCCCTCTTTAACCCTCCCAAGATTTTTTTTTCTATGGGGAGTATCGTGAAACGATGGTTGGAAATATGATCGAACAAAGAAAACCGTTGGACTTTGATTCCATGAATCTTTATCATCAATAATTCAACGGTCAAGAAATGAAATTTAATTCTGGTGTGAAGAGAATGTTCCCATACTGGACACTCACCCGTCCAGACCAAACATAAACAATATCAAGATTAAATTCGTAGTATGATATCTCAGCTTCACAGAGTGAGCCGATGGTGATAAATTTTATTCACGCACCGGATATAGTCTATGAGTAATTAGCGAACTCGATACGTGTGGTACCGCTCCAACGAAAAAATTCCGGAACGACAGTGAGATTTTATGGAATGTTTCTGAACATTTAATAAATTAAAGAAACATTTTCACTGTTATGTCCGGAGACATTATCTGCGTCGATGGACAACGGGTAAAATAATAATGATTTTAATTTCCAAACAATTTGCTAAAATTGTCAAAGATTTATCGGAATTTATAATTTATCTTGTTTTAGTTTTTAAGGGAAGCATAACGCTTACTGCATTTATTAGTCTTACCTTTTTCTTTGCAACTGAAAAGTAAATATGGGGAGGATTTTAAGGAATACCCAGGAAGGAAAAAGGTTCTCGAAATAACCAAAAGATTTGTTTATGTTTGAGGAATTTTCACGTATAATCTTCAAAATAGGATTGTATTAGAAATTACAGAAATCATTACAATATTTTATCTTCCAATCTGTCTCCCCTAGAAAATCTCCTATCAATTTTTAAATTTAAGGATTAGGTACTCACTCGATGTAAACTTTATCCAAATTCAAATCGGTTCTTACATTGCTAGTCAAGTTCGAATCACTATTTTTGATAACTGTTTTTGGTTGTGAGTTTCTGTGCTTTTCTCACACTTTCGACACTAAACTTGTGTGTACTCGTGCACTGAGATAAACTTCCAC